TTTGTAACATCAATGTTCACTTGGTCTGGTTTTGTTGCAGTATGCCCCATATATAAATGATAATCAGTTGTTATTAAAATTAATTAAAAAAAAGAGCTATTTATTATTGCAAAAATGGATATAAATGAAAATTTAGAAGCACAACTGAAAAAGGAAGAAGCAATAGGAAATTTAATAAAATTGGTAGTCGTGTAATTAATTTTTTGTTTAATTATATTCATGTTTATACGCACACTAATTTAAAAGTCACTTTTTTTGTCAATGACACTAAGGACTTTCCATTGTATGTCAATTCTATTAAACTTGATGGAGTAAAAAAAACACGTAGAAATTTCTTAGAACAAATCTTTAATCCTATACTTAAAGCTAGAACACTTGGTTCAATTATTGATGAAATTCAAATATCCATTGATAAATTGTACCGTCTTGACATTTTCGAGAATTTTGATATATTACTTGACACTAGTAACAACCAATTGACTCAGATAGATGTAATTGATGTTTTATTGTCGGTGGAGGAAAAGAAGAGGTTTTTTATGAAAACTGGCACAGAGATTGGAAACGATTCTGGAAGTGCGGTAAACTTTTTTTTTGACGACAAATTGTTTATTATAATGATGATAAAATTTAGCATATGATTAAAGAAGCTTCATTTTTCTAAATTTTGTAGAATTTGTCATTGAATGTTCGTAATCTTTTCGGTGGTGCAGAAACATTGGAAGCCTATATGGCGACTAGCACTCAAACTTCGCGCATATTCCAGGTAAAGACCTCATTCATAAAAAAAATTTTTATAATAAAATAAAATAAAAGTTACAAGTATTATATTCGTATTATATAATTTTTACATATTGTTTAGTTTTGTTTAGCAACACCAATTAATGGAAATCCAGATTCCAAAATTGACATTTCAGCTTTTAGAATGACAAAAAGTAATCAGTTGTACAGTTCTCATGATGAAATCTTAAAAGGTTCTGCATTAAGATGGAGAGTAAGTTTTATCGTAATCCTTCAGTTTAAATATAATAAATTTTATATGTTGTTTTTGATAATAATAATATCTGGTCTTTTGTTATATTAATTTTTAGGGAATATCAAAATTAGGATTTCACGAATTGAATTATGGTCTTATTTGGAGGCAAATTTGCAATATTAATAATGATGCGACTCTAAGGTATTTGATTTATTATAAAGATCTTTCATGCATTTGCTCTAATTAAATTAATTGTTTTAATGTTTATAGTATACGTGAATCTGCAGGTCATTCATTAAAATCATCCATAAGTCATACTTTTATTTATGATAAGCGCGATGATATAATATTACCATCCAGTGGTTATTACTTCAAATTATTTCAGGTATTTCTATATTGACTAATAAAATAAATAAAATACAAAGTTGCTTGATAATCTTTATATATATACATATATTATAGGAAGTTGCCGGATTTGGAGGAGATGTAAACTTTATTAAAAATGAAATAGAAAATCAAATCAATTATCCACTCGGTGAAGGCTTTGTATGGTTTATATGACAATTTTCTTTATTATTTAATAAATAAAGTAATGAAATTTTTTTTTTGATAAAAATTTTAGATTTTTAGTGCCTCATTAAGAAATGGAATTTTGTATCCATTAAAAGACAAATCAAATATTAGTGATAGATTTTTCCTTGGGGGTGCTCAATCTGTAAGAGGATTTAAATTAAATGGCCTTGGTCCAAGGGAAGATAAAAGTATGAAATAATTAACCTACAAAAGTTGCATTAATTTATTTAAATTGATAAATAAATTGATTGATTGACAATCTGATTTGATATTTTAGAGGATTCTTTAGGTGGTGATATTTATTTAGCAGGTGGGATTAGTTTATTCACTCCATTACCAAAATTAAGGAAATATCCTGTTAAAGGTCATTTATTTATAAATGGAGGTAGTTTAATAGAATTTGATTCTCGTAAGTAAATATTCTCATATCCTTTAGTATAAAGAAACATTTGTTTATAATTTATTTATTGTATAAAAATTTTTTTTAGGTAGAAATTTCCTTAATAATTTCAAAAATCTGACAAAAACACCTAGTATATCTGCCGGCATAGGTATTGCATACAAAAGTAGCATTTTAAGATTTGAAATAAATTTTTGTTTGCCATTAATTGCAACAGCCTCTGATAAATTAAAAAGATTCCAGCTAGGTTTAGGAATAAATTTCTGGTGAAAAGCTGAAAATAAATAAATTCAATAAAACAAGATGGCCCTGATAATCAACTGTTCTATAAAGGGCTACAGTGTACGGCACAATAGTTACAGTGTTATGACCACGATCTAAATAGTTTTTTTGCCTTTTTGTTCATATCAAAGGCCAAAAATAATAAACCTTTAGGAAGTTGCACTGGATTTCCAGCTAAATTTGAGAAATTTGAAAAAGCTACCAGAACTCAAGGAATAATTATCAATATCTAGTATTTTTGGGGGATTTTACTATTAAATACTTAATTACATATGATGGCGGAAAAATATTTTAAATTTCTCGCTCCATAGATAGCATTCACTGCCACAGAACACTTCAAGTTTTTCTCTCTCAAATTGATTTTCATTCTCATTACATATAACTGTTTTTATGAATTCTGTGACAACCGGATTTCGCCCAGCAAGTCATTCAAAAAGTTGAATAACCTAAAAGGTTATCCAAACTAAATCTTTTCTGATCGCTCATTAAATTTATAATATCATCATCCATCATATACATTTTTACGTTCTCTTTTAGCAATTTTTCTTATATACAAATTCAATTCTTGTTTGTTGATTGTTGAATGTATTATTCAATTTCTCTTTCAATTCTTGATTTTTAGATATTAATATTGAATTTTGTAATTTTAGTTCGTTGATGCTCCTATGATATTAATATACTCTATTTTGTTGAGCCTCAGATTGGTTTAATAGTTCCTTTATTTTTTCCAATTCTCACAAAAGATTTGCATGGTGTTGGTTCTGTTTTTGTGTAATTTTTCATCATCTATTCTTCGTTGATATTCTTCTATGGCATTAATATATTTTATTTGTTGAGCTTCAGATTGGTTTAACTCATTCTTTATTTTTCCTAATTCTAACAAAAGGGTTGCGCAATGTTGGTCCTGTTCTTGTGTAATTTTTGCACCTTCACCTTCATTTTCATCTTCATCTTCATCAGTAGTTATTATTTTAAATCGGTTTGGTTGGTTTTCTCTTGAAAACTAGAAATAAAACCATCATCTGCTTTTAATTTTTCAAGAAGAGCATTAGAAGTAACAATTGATTGTAGTCTAATAATAATAATAATAATAATAATAAGGATTGGTTTTGAATTTTCTCCACTATAACTAAAAAAAGCGAATTTTATCAAGAACTTTTGTTTCTGGAATTACTCTATTGTAATGAAAAATCAACTGTGTCGAGACTACACTGTATCAAGTTTTACTGTGTATTGTATGCTTTCAATTTTTCATTTGCTAGGTTACTGCAGAAGCTAATTGCAATTATCTTAACTGTATAGATCCTTATCACACATCCTTTTATTGAAGCCCAAACAACATTGCATGTTAATAGCAGGGGTTTTTGGTGATGAATCATTAGAAATGATGCACAAGGACATCATACAGAGACTTACCAAACAAGAGACAGAGTTTGATGATGAAATATTGATAAAGCTTGTCCACATTATCAAGGTATACTATCTCCTTTTACTTATTTGATTTGAAAAAAGTTCAATGCACTCATTCTTGTTACAGCATCTGCAACAGGAGGAGATCACAAGAGACAATGCTGTTTCAGAACTGCAAATTCTTGGAGTCAGTTGTTCTTATGGAAAATGTGCAATTTTGAAGGCCATAAGAAACATGTAAGATTGTAATGAATTTTGGAGCAAGAGGTTTTTTACAGTATCCAATGCTAAATACACTTTTTATTTTAATTATTAATATCGAAAAGTGCCAAGAGTCGCACTAAAAAGCCCCATTGGAGAGGTGGAGTTACATTGATCCGATTCTCAGCCCAGGGTTAGAAAGCCAATAGACAGGGCAAAACAACCCAGGGTTGGCAAATTGACTGGTCCATTGCCATTAATAAAACACTAAATATGGTTAAAGTGTTACACTAATGGACCCAATGAACCACCAATAGACCATCAATGGGCCACACATTGCCAACCCTGAAACAACCTGATTCTATCATCAACGAATTGATCAGTTGTCTTGGAACTTGAGCAAAGGACATGGTGAAGCAAAAGTTCAAGAAGAGATGAATAACCTCTACCTTCACTTGAACAAGTTCCTGCTTTTTTCACCAGCCTTGATATGCTTCTCATCATATCCAATGCATTTTGGTCCAACTCAAGGTTGGCAAATTGACTGGTCCATTACCATTAATAAAATTCTAAATATGGTTAAAGTGTTACACACTGATGGACCACACATTTTCCAACCCTGATTCAACTGTATTATTTCTACTGAAGAAAAGAACCAAGCAGGCATAACACTCTTGCAACACCAAACTTCAAAGAAATAGTTTCAATGAGTCAGGATTGGCATCAACCTTGTTTTAATTTTTTAGATTCTAGTTATAGCTCGAAAATAGTTCACAATGAAGCATGTTTATAGTTTTAATAAACCAAGTTGTCTCATTGTATAACAACATTTAATGTATTTTGGTTTATCATAATATATATTGATAATTTTAATAAATTGTTTTAGATAATAACGAAAAATGAGGTATAAATACAAAACATAAGATGTTGCTAAAATATTATATTTATCCTAAATAAATATGATAGATTAAAATATATTTAATATATTCAGTTTATGTGGACATGCCTCAGTGTTAAGATTTCTATCATTTTGCATAATGTAATTAAGCTAGGTTTGCATTACATTACCATTGAAGCAATAAATAATGAAATAATCACATTAATGTATAGATAAAAAACAAACTGCTAGAACTTAAAATAAAATCGATTGATAAATAATATTATTGGATTGTGCAACATAAATAATAACCATATAATGTAAAAATTAATCCAGTTAAGAAAAGAATTTAATTATTGCCAATCCGGGAAAATTTATAGTAAAATCAACTTTAACAATTTTTTCACCCTTATGGAAAGTCACACATTTACTATGTCACATGAAAAAAAATTCATTATCAAATCATCTTGAACAGATGTCAAATATTATATTTACTTATAAAAGTATAGGTTGTTAAATTTGCCAGTTTTCTGCTATTTAATGAGCGTGTTGGATTATGATTAGGGTGTCCAGGACTACAGTGCAGATCATCTATACTCAAAAGTTAAAATTTTTGAAATATTATGTGATCCACACATCAGATTTTAAAAAACTTACCACCATTCATTTTAACACCTCTTCAATTGCATCCACTGACAAAAGATATGCTTCAAGATCTAACAATCAATCAAGCAATAATAAATTAATTGAACCAGTTAGATAATATGACAAATGATATTATTATTATTAGTGCATGCATACCTTCTAATTTCATATTAATACCACCTAATGTTGATAATCCAACCAACTGTTGTGCTAAATCTCCATTATGATAAATTAATAAAGTAGGTAGATTTTTATCAGGATAATTCGGTATGCATTGATCTCCAATTATTTTTACAAATTTGGTTGATTTATATTTTATTGCCAAATCATTTAAATATTTATTTAATAATTTACATTCTACAATCCTAAAAATAAAAGAATTAATATTTGAACCTTATTTCATTGTGTTAAATTATTGTATTAAATCATCATCATAATTATAATTATCATCATTATTACACTCACGGATCTTTAAATAAATGTACAACAACTGGTGCTTCTTTACTAGTTTCTGTGACCTCTTTAACAAAATCTGTTTTAGAAATTTGTATAACTTGTCCAAATTTTCCACGAATTGCTTCAGCTTTCATTTCAGCTATTCTCTTCTTACTAAACCAAAAAATTTTAAAATTACAATAATAATAATAGTATAGATCATTATTAATCTCTACTATCACTACTAGCTACTTTGCTTTATTTAGAATTTACCGGTATTCCATTAAAATTCTTTCGTCTTCTTCATCTTCCAATTCATCAAGTTCCTCTAGACTTTTATCTTCTAAATGTTTATCATGTTTATCTCGAATTTCTTTATCAAGTTCCTCAAATATTTCTTCTTCTGTTGGTCCTGATTTTGGTGGAAGTATACCACGAGCACGTAAAATATCATTCCTATTTCACATAACACAATTATTATAATCATTAATTTATTTATTAATAAATAAAGGAGAATTTTGAAAAACATTTACCATTCTGTGTCTGCTTCAGGGTTTTCCATAATTTTTATTATTATTATCTGAAAAAAATGCAGGAAAATTTTGTGAAGCAAATCATTACCGAATTTGTATACAATACTAAAAATTGTAACCCCTGTCCAAATTCGGTTTAGAGGTTCTGATCAAAAGTAAAAGTGATATTTATCACTGAAATGTTTGACTATTTGAAATGTATACAGTGCATGTCACAGCAATACATCCAAAAAAATTGGTCTTTTTAAAATTGACATAAGTTAAATTTCATGTAACTTTTGAAAAAAAAAAAATTTGTAAATCAATTTATTATTCTAGTTAAAAGCTATTGAACTATGTTGGAATTTTTTTTTTAAAATAAGTTCAGTGCAACATTTTGGCTAGTAAGTTAACTGGAAGCCCCAGTATCAATTATAATAATAGATGAATTAGAAGTAAATTCTAAACAGACCCACTACAATAGTGAAAAATAAAATTATATCTGGTGCATGCATGTTGGCCAAAATTACTTTTGTTAGTAAATGATCATTGCCAAATTCAAAATGCCAAAATAGTTTTTCATAGTAGCCAAATTAATTTTAATGGTGGCCAAAATTATATCCAAAATTATTTGAATTCTAATTCAATAGCCAAAACTCTGGGTGGTTTTTTTATGACCATTATTAATATAGGGAATATGGAAAAGCCAGGATATTGCCAAAATATTTGGCAAATGCAAAATCAATTTTGGTTAATATATATGATCTGGTGTTGATGTGGAGAGGTCCTTTTCAAATTATAAAAGCTTTAAAAGAAAAAAATTAAATTTTATGTATTTTAATTTTGGCCAGTATTGTTCTCAAATTTGCCAAAAATTATAACCGCGTAAAAGCATAATTTGGAAAAAAAAAAGCATACGGTGCAGATCATTTATAATCATTAATTGCTTATAGTAACAATTGGGCAACTTCAAAATACTAAAACAAAAAAAAATTATATCATTTTAAAAAATTTAACCGATAAGTTTTATTGTCCATGACT